CATTGCACTGCACATAAAATGGCAGGACTGCATGTGATACCTGGAAAGACTCAAATCCAGGGCCAAACGTAGCAGGGCCTCACTTCCTGCCTGTCTCCTCTTCCCCCAAAGTGCAGACATGTCATGCTCCGTGTGCTTTCTACACTTGTTGTTTTTAATACATGAATTTCTTGGGTTTGAAAACAATCTTTATTCCTTTACATGAAAGCAAGCAAGAATACCCCAAAAAAGCAATAGGCATTTTTCTACTAAGTGCATCATACAAACCAATCACAGTCTCTGCACTCCTCCCCATGGCAGCAAATATGACTTTTGGTATTTTATTGCTGCCGCGAGGCACATTATCCTTATAGCCCTGAACTGAGCTCCTCTAACCGTGCTGGTGTCAGGCTATTCCAACTCCACCTCCACGCCAGCCTGAGTGAAGCTTTTGCCCTTCTCTTCACAAATACTATGAAGGATACAGCATACAGTTATAAGCACAGGAATGTTGTCATCAGCCAGGTCCAGCCTCCCATACAATCACCACCAGACAGCTTTTAATTGGTCACAAGCCCACTCCAAAGTCATTCTGCGCTTGCTCAGCCTGTTGACTCTCCTTGCTGCTGTGAAGGCTCCCAACGTATGGCTTCATAAGCTAGGGTATTAATGGGTAGGCAGGGTCTCCCAGAACAATGGGCATTTTGACTTCACCTTCAGTGATCTTCTTGCCCAGGACAAAAATCCCTGTTGCAGCTTCGTGAACAGGCCCATGTCCTGAAATACGTGTACATCATGCACCTTTCTGAACCAGCCTATGTTAATGTCTGTCAAACATCCACAGAGATCCATAAGCCCTTGGAGAACCATGGAGAAATGCCCCTTATGGGTAATGTACTCAGACTAGGTGGTCTGTTGCCAGAATTGGAATCTGCATGCCATCTATTGCCCTGCCACAGTTAGAGAAGCCCATCTGTGCAAAGCCATTCATAATTTCATGCACGTGAAATCCAACAGTTGATTTCCCCACTCCGAACTGATTGGCGTCTGATGGGTAGCTGTCTGAAGTAGCCAGTCCCCACGCACTGCTCCACGGCAGGGCAACACTCCGTCTCTTGTCCCTGCGTCACAGGGTAGGGGCAAACTCATCACAGAGTCCCATGAGAGTGGCTTTTCTCATCCAAAAGCTCTGTAGCCACTGCTCAAAATCCCAGGCTCGCATGATGTGACCCCACCACTCTGTGCTTGTTTCACGAGCCAAAAAGTGGCATTTCTCTGTGGTCAGCACCTCGGTGAATGCCATAAGAAATCTCATGTCGTAGCTACTGTAGGTGGCAAAATCAATAACTAATTCCTGGTCGCTTTGCTGCTTCAGGAAAAACTCGATGGCCATTCGGGATATGTTAGTGAGATTTATCAGCATTTTCTTCAACAGTTCCCACAGACCAAGGCAGCGTGCACAGCACAGAAGCCGTTGAAGGATGCCACCAAATGCAGACATAAGCAAAGGGGTCGCTGGGATGTGAAGTGATGCCCCGCGAGGCATTGGGACAGGACCCAGTGGCCCTCCCTCCACCTTCCCACAAGCCTCAGTAACAGAACAGGAAGAGGTGTTCTATGGGATAAGTGCCCAGAGTGCACCACTCCAAATGCTGGTCACTCTACTGTGCTGGCAGCTGACAGTGTGGACAAACAACAGTGGCTTCCTTGCTGCACTCTGCGAGCAGCTCTGTAATTGCCAGCACTTGACATCTGCCACTGCAGACGAAGCCAAACATAGATAGTAAAGGCCTTGGCACAGGGACGCGCCCCCCTGGATTCACTAGGGCACCCAGCACACCACCGGGGTACTGAAAATAACAGGAATTCTAACAACAACTGGAATAGCTAGATTCTAATTTTGGCTCTGATGTGGCAAGCCATGTAACCTTTCTGTAATTACCATTTGCCCAGTAAAATGGAGATATTACTGCCCTGCCCCAGAAGTGGTTGAGGACTAGTCTGTGATACTCTGTGGATGGACAGTCTTACATATACTACCACTATTAACTGCAGGGCTTTATGAAGCACTAACACCACATGTGCTTGTTATCGGTAAACAGACACACACACGCAGCTCTGGCATGCTGCTCTCAGCATACATCCTGGCTACACCTACACTGAGTTTTCTCGGCAAAAAATATGCTAATGAGGGACTCATTTGCCTGAGTCACGATCTCATTTGCATATTTTCTGCCTATCCATTTTCGCGCAAAAACAAGCAGTGTGGACGTTTTCTTTTTGCGCAAAAAACCCTTTTTCCGCAAAATCAGTATACCTCCTTTTTGGGTTCATAAGGATCTTATGGAAAAAGGGGGTTTTGCGCAAAAAGAAAACATTCACACTGCTTGTTTTTGCGCAAAAACCCCAGCGCAAAAACAGATCAGCAGAAAATATGCAAATGAGATTGAGACTCATGCAAATGAGTCCCCCATTAGCATATTTTTTGCTGAGAAAACTTGTTGCGTAGACATAGCCACACTGATTCACAACACACCAGCACTGACTACATTTAGATTATACAAACAGAGGAGCTTTTAGTCTCAGTGGATAATGGACATTTAGAATTTGCTGCTCCAAACACTGCTGAAAGAAACTGCTGTGCTAGGAATCTCAAAGCACACTGGACTCACCTCAGGTTCTCTCTCTAGTGCGCAGGGACAGAGTGGATTGGAGGTTTTACTGAGGTGCCTGTACGGAGAGACATTTACATCTGTTGATAGATAGTTATGAAAGCCAATAAGCTAGTAATTATGGGGCTTTTATGTAAAGTCAGTGTCATAACATCACACGACTAAAGCAGCCAGAGCAGGGAAGGAAATAATTGTCTTAACACTGATGTATAAATATCATTAAGTCTGTATATCTAACATGCTTAATTTCCTGTGATACTGGAAGGTCCTGCAGGGCCTGCTGGCCTTCCAAATCTTCTATTTTCCCCAACTGCCAAATGCTCTTTCTTTTAACCCCCAACTCCTCAATGATGTCTCCCCAGCACAGAATTGGCAAAGGTCCTCTTCCCACCACCAAAGTTCCTGAGACACAGGTCTGACTAATAATGAAGGTGGGACATCTAACAGAAATACAATTGAGACACACAAGCTGTTAGTTCTGCGCCATGTCCATCTGCCCGTCAATCATATGTGATAGTCGGATTCTGCAGTATTGAAAATTTCACTTTAAAAAAGATTCTAGTAATCCTGGATGTGAAGAAAACCTTCCTAATGTATTCTGAGTATAATGTGAGACACTGCTGTTTTCCTGACACTGCAAAGAGCTAGAAACAATAGCTCAGAGACACATGAGCTCCACCGCAAAGCACTACTGTTAATGAAAAAACCATTATCTGTCTCATAATTGTTGTTCTCCCAGATGTGTTACTCATGTCCCTTCCAAAAGTGATGGTTTGGTGCCTCCTGAAGCGACACCCTTATCACAGTGTGGACGTACCACTGCTGACTTGCTACTTGCTCAGTTCTTTCTTGCCGGATTACTCTGACAGAGAGGAGTCAGGCAACATTGGTAATGGACATGAGCAACTCATCTCGAAGAACAACAGTTATGAGAGGCAGGTAACCATTTTTAGTGGAGTGCTTGCTCAAGTCCATTCTAATAGGTGATTTCCAAGCAGTTTCCTTAGGGGAGAAGTCAGAGTTAACTTGGTTGGTGATTACAGGACCACCCTGCCAAATGCCATGTCATGCCTGGCATGCTGGACGATGGCATAGTGTGATGTGAAGGTGTCAATTGAAACTCCTATTGCTTCTGTGAAGATTTCTTAGACAGGGACATGAGCCTAGAAGGACACAGACAATGCATGTACCCTTGTGGAAAGTGCTGTCAATGATGGTGGTTGCACCTTTGTGAGGTCATAGCATGTCCAGATGTAGTATGTAATCCATCGAGGAGATGGGGCATCCTCTCATCCTTTCATGACAATAAAAATCTGCGGTGATGTGCAAAATGGCTTTACGGTACTCGCTATACAATGCCAGGACTCACCTCACATTTAGGGAATGCAACGCACACTCTGCTGGTGGCATAAGGTTTAAGTTTTAGAGAGGAACACTGGTAAAAAGGTGTCCTGGTTCACACACAACTGAGACCGCTTTAGGGAGGAATGCAGAATGATGACAGAGCTGGACCTTCAGTAAAAAATAGTAAATGGGGGCAAAGCTGTACATGCACGTAGCTTAGAGATCCTTTTAGCTGATGTTACACCTACCCAGAAAACTCTCTTCCATGAAAAGTGAGAGAGGTCAGGGGGTCATAGGTTCAAATGCAGGGCCCAAGCTGAGGTCCCACTAAGGGATCAAGTTGTCAGACATGTGTGTAGAGACTGTCCAGACCCTTGAGAAACCACCCAACTATTACTCAACACCCCATCTACTGGCCTCACCTGGGTGGAAGGCAGATGGCAGCCTTACCAACAGTGTTGCTAGATTCTGTTGTTTTAGGGAGAGTGCTGACACAGATGGCTGGCTAAGCCAAGGCTCTGCCACTATAGCTTGTCTGAAAAGCCAATTAAAGACAGCTGAGCAAGCCCACACCTGAAGGGCTAATGGAAGCTGCTGTGGGCCTCATTAGCCAGATGGGAGGAGCAAGGAGAGGAGTGAGGAGCCAGCATGTGGCTGAGTGTGCGCCCTAAGCCAGAAGGAGAGGCTGGCTGAGTTAGCTGCTAGAAAACCAAAGCTCTGTCAATAGAAGGTGGTGGGAAATTGGCACTGACAATAAGACACACGTGACCACCAGAAAGGGTCTCCGGTTGGTTTGTGATGCAAGAAGGGGTCCCAAGGCGAGGGGCCTGGGCGAGAACCTCGCACAAGCGGGTAGTCCGGAACAAGGAGACTCAGCATCAGCTGGGTGCAGAGGGAGAACATTAAAAAAAATCCACTTTGCCAGGTAAGAGGGCTTTCTGCATCACAGGAGGACCTCTTGTACTAAGTCTGAATACTGGAGCGCCAGGGGATTCAGCCATGGAATTTCCAGGCTGTGACTTGGAGGAACTCTAGATTGGGGTGTTGGAGCTTGCCGTGATCCTGTGAAATAAGGCCTGGGCATAGTGGGAGGACTAGTGGTGTATCCACTGAGAGGACCAGTACTGTGGTGAACCAGTGGTGGCAGGGTCATGCATAGCTTGAGAGCTGCTTGGAGGAACCGTGAGCCTGGCTTGAGGAGCAATGTGTTGGCATCTCCTATTATTTTCTTCCCTGGGCCACTGAGTTCTGCCGAGGCACCCCAGTATAAAACTGGGAGGGGGCTGGCGTTTGAAGTGCTTTCTTTGGGATGCAGGGATGTATATTCCTCATGCCCTTCAGACTGTGTAAGGGGAGCCTGTGTTTTCTGCAAACACAGACCCTGTATTTAAACATCACAACTCTCGAAGCTGCACAGCCACGTGGCTCTGCAGCTGCCTAACAAGCCCCACAGAGGGGCTCACGGTTGCTGCACAGAGTGCCACCTGAATGGCTGCAGCAGCTCCATGCTGGGGTACCTCTTATCCTAAAGTGTGCGGGGGCGGGAGGGTCCCTTTCCCCTCTCCATGGTGCTATGAGCCCACAACTGCTGCTGCCAGAGGACAGGCACCCCTCCCCTGGCTGTGGCCACTGAAGCTGCAGCAGTCATGGAGAGGCACCTCTCACCTGGCCCGAACCTGCTGCAGGGAGAGAGGGCTGGGGATAGCCCTGTCGTCCCAGGAAAGCCTGCGCCGCAAACTCCTCAGCCCCAGACGCACCCCAGAGTGCACACCCCCAGTCACAGCCCTCGCCCCAATCCTCTCTCCTAACCCGGAGCCCCCTAACACTGCTTAACCCATCTACCCCACCCCGCCATATACTGTCCATGTGCAGAATGACTTTTGTTTTATGATTAGACAGATTAGAGGCTTGGGCCAAAAGAAATCTGATGATGTTCAACAAGGACAAGTGCAGAGTCCTGCACGGAAGAATCCCAAAAATTGTTACAGGCTGGAGACCGAATGGCTAAGTAGCAGTTCTGAAGAAAAGGACCTGGGGGTTACAGTGGATGAGAAACTGGACATGAGTCAACAGGGGGCCCTTGTAGCCACGAAAGCTAATGGCATATTAGAGTGCACTAGGAGGAGCATTGCCAGCAGAGCCAGAGAAGTGATTATTCCCCTTTATTCGGCTCTGGTGACGCCACATCTGGAATATTGTGCCCAGTTCTGGGGCCCCCACTATAGAAACAATGTGGACGCATTGGAGAGGGTCTAGTGGAGAGAAACCAAAATGATTAGGGGGCTGGAGTGCATGACCTATGAGGAGAGACTGAAGGATCTGGGTTTGGTTAGTCTGCAGAAGAGAAGAGTGAGGGGGGATTTGAGAGCAGCCTTCAACATCCTGAAGGGAGGTTCCAAAGAGGCTGGAGAGAGGCTGTTCTCAGTAGTGACAGATGCAGAACAAGGAGCAATGGTCTCAAGTTACAGTGGGGGAGGTCTAAGTTGGAGATTAGGAAAAACTATTTCCCTAGGCGGGGGGGGAAGCACTGGGATGGGTTCCCTAGGGACAGGGTGGAATCTCCATCCCTAGAGGTTTTTAAGTCTTGGCTTGACAAAGCCCTGGCTGGGGTGATTTGGTAGGGATTGGGCCTGCCTTGGGCAAGGGGCTGGACTTGATGGCCTCCTGAGGTCTCTTCCAGCTCTATGATTCTGCATCATATCCATACTGCTGCAAATAATGAAAGTTTCTATGTCCATGTACATAAAATATAGGGAACAATGGTCTGGATCACTGAGGGAATGCTGAACACCTGTCGCCACACACTGTCTCTCATGGTGACCACCACAGCTATGGTATGGGTTGCGTCTGTCAAACCCAGAGCCACTTGTAAGGACAGCCTAGAGACCACCTTGCCCTCCGCAGCAATGCCACAAATTCCTGAGAGGTGTCCAATGGAAGGAGGCACCTGGAATTTTGCCAGCGAACGCCAGAGGTGAAAGTGTAGTGGCTGAATGCTGCCTGCTGGTTAGCTACTCACAACTGTGGGCCCCCAGCTGAACAGGCCTCCATGGCCAAAGATGTTCAGCTTCGTTGTGTCCCTATGTTTCAGAGCAGGCCTTGGCTGGCCTTGGCATTCCTTGGGGTTCACTGCATCAATCACAAGAGCGACAAGCTGACGGGGCACCGACTCACAGAAAAGTCAGTCAGAGGCCTCACACAAATGAGAAACAGAAAAAACAACCAAACAAACCTCATGGATCTGGCTCCCCACAATGAGAAGGAGAAAAACCCCTGACAAATGTGATGCCCATCCGCGATGCAGGAAAAAAAAAGAAAACACGCGATAGGGAGGCCTTGCTGGAGGGACCACTGGACTCAGTCCCAGATAAATACAAGAGACAAGGTCAGAGGTTTAAAATGAGGGAACCAGAGGGGGACGCTGAGTAGAGAACCTTGGACATCATCCACTGCTCCCTGAAGCTGTCTAGGGAGCCCAGACCCATCTGCTGCTGCTAAGCCCTGGGCTGGACACAGTGGAGGGGGTGGGCCTGCGTCCCCCTGCAGCCTCCCCCCACTTCCACAGGCAAAACGCCTCCACTTGTCAGCTCTCTGCAAGAGCTAAGAGACCCGCCTTGAGCTCGGGCCTGGGCTTGATGACTGTTTTCTTAGCCTGAACATAGGCCTGGGCCGGGCCCCTGGACCATTGCTGCCCACACTGAGTTAGGACCTGGG